GTTCGTACATAGTAAGCTTACACAAGGAGAAACAATTTTTTTATTAGGTTGGTGCAAAAATAATGACGCAAGAATGTCGTTTTTTTTTAACGTAGAAAAGTACGTCAAAAAACGACATTATTACGTCATTATTTTTGCACCAACCTAATAACTAATTACACATTGCAGTGATTAGTGACAATTTCTATGTAGCGGCGTAAAACAGAAGTGGGCAGAGCCTTCCAATATATGTGGACGGATACTGGAATCTGGAAGAGCATCCTTGAGACCATTATGGCAAGACATACAAATGCTTGCTGAGCCACGAATAGCAATGAAGATAGCATCGTTTTTTTTGTTTTTTTTAGGTTTTTTTTTTTGTTATTTTTGTTATTTATTTATTTATTTGCTTTATAGATATTGGAAACCTGACGGAGAATACCTGAAACCAAATGTGGCAAATTCATTCAAAAACATGCTACACCATGAACACACTGGAGAGCAAAGAAAATGATATCGCTTTTTTTTTTGCCGGGATATATTGAAAGCTTGGCAGGGAAGCCTGAAAATATCATAGGAATGTCATTCAAAACTTGCTGTATCACGAACGCACTGGATGGCAGTGAAGATGACATCCATTTTGAGGAAGAAGAACAAGATGACGAACACATCTACTACACTGACAACATAGATCGAACTGTCATGACTTCGACATTTGACACGGGTAGTAATGATGCAGACTTATTATCGATGTGAATATGTTTTTTTTTTTTTTAAATCCAGAGCTGATTGTAACACTTTGTCAAATATTAATTAATTTGTATCATATATAAAAATTACTTAATGTATTACCGTCGTGTATATATGGACACACGTAGCAAGAAAAAATAATTTCATCCTCATGGATAATGCGCGGTCCTAAGTTTTGAACACAGTATCTTTAAAATACTATGCCCCTTTTAAGATGTAAACGCTCACGACCGGTCACAGATTGTGTTTCTTTGGAAATAAAGTAAGAGTTGTTTCTTGTTGCCTTCTCCACTGCTTTAAAATTCAGATTAGGCTTTCATCTAGACTGGCTGTCACCCAAGGCTAGGGCGCTTATTTGACAATGCTTTTTATCTCATAGCTAGATTAACGGGAATAGATAGATTCATGCCAAAGTGCAATAGACTTGAAACTTGAACTCGCCTCGCCATTTTCGCTTTCCGTGCTGATAACTGTTAAGCTATTCGCAGATTTTGCAGTATATAGATAGTTAAATCAATAAATCCGTAGCCTAATAACAGGAAAAATATATATTATCATAGCAAATATTTATTTTGTAACATAATCTTCGCCAATGATGGTGAATGTTCGTCACTAGAGAGTGAATAGTTTATATAAGAATGTAACTAAATAACTACGTGTCAGGCTACCCATTAGTCGACCCTGGCAAGCAAGGCTAAGAATTTGGGAATGAAAAGGTCATATCGTCACGAGCCAGTGCCGGATTTACCATTGTGTTTCGGTGTGCTTAAGCACAAGGCCCCATTAAACAGATTATGTAGGTGCATCGCCCTTCTATGTATGTGTAGGCATGCCAGGCCTACCTTTTTCAGGGTCCAAATAAGGGGCCTCGTGACTTTACGAGCACAGGACCTCATTTGTCCTAAACCCACCGCTGTCAAGAGCCAATTTAAATAATAAACAGATCAATCAATTGTTAGATTAATAGAAACACATGCACACACATATGCCCCTCACACACACGCGCATACCCACATATCGATATTCTATGGTTAATTAGCGTTGATTTGATTCGCTTACGGTCAAATCACGCTGAAACACCGGTTCTCGTTCGATCACCGAAGTTAAGCATCGTAGAGCCAGGTCAGTACTTAGATGGGGGACCGCTTGGGAACACCTGGTACTGTAAACCCCCAAAGTCCAACCCTTACCTCACAGTCGGTGGGGGGTGTAAACGGTAGTGTCAGAGCTATGCCGCCCGGAACTTCGTTCCTGGTAGGGCCACCCAAGGCGGACAGGTCTGACACACACGCCGGCTAACAAGGGCTCTGGTGAAAATCCAAGGAGCGTCTGCATCGGTAACCGGCGGCTTCTGGTCGTTCCTGTCTCTGCGTCTGTGGGAACCCCGCGGCAAGCAAGAACGTTATCCGAGTAGGCCTGGGTACCCTACTTCTGTAATTTATCCCAAGAATCTTCTTCTCATAACAGGAAGAAGCCGGCTCAATCCGCCCAGGGTGAATGCCGCATCAGTACGGTACAGTAGTAATTAGCGTTGATTGCTTCTAAGGAATGAATCGATTTTATTTCCAATCTGATATTATTCCTTATTACACTAAGCGTTATTTTTGTACATACATGTGTTTGAGTAGACACCCTCATTTTTTAAAATTATTTTTACACGGTGTGAATTACACCTACCGTCCTGTGAATTCAAGAATCTTAATGAAGTAGATGTGCTCGTGGACAGGGTTTGAACCTGCCTTTCCCTTTTTAGGGAAAACCTACTTGTCTGACCCGAAGTACTTTAGACGGGGCGCCTGCATACGGATGGAAAATGAATTAAATAAGTATACAAAAATTGTCATCGGATTTTTGTCACTTGATTTTGTCACCGGATTTATGTAATATTTACAAGGAGGCCATCCTAAGAAAACGAGAAATTCTAACAGATTACTGTCTTAAATGCATAAGATACACAAATGGCACTGTATTTGTAGAAGGCTGTTATATAGGAATAGAGTGTTGCTGCCGACATTTGAGTTTGAACATGGATCACCAGTGAGCAAACACAGGCGATCCCATTATTGAATTAAGTAGATCACGTGACCATAGAGGAAACGTATATGTGGAAGATAGCGTGATGTTTAATTGATCTGCATTTCTAGTCTATCCTCTATTACTATTCGGATCGCTATTCTCTACTCTATTCACTATACTATTTCTCTGTTCGGATCACTATATGGGTTACTTGTCGAGCGAGTATTATGGAGCAAGTACTATTAGTGAGAATGATATTCGAAGGCGTCTAACACCAGTATTGTTCAACGGCGTACTATAGTTGTATCGGCGATTACCAAGTCTCTGCTACAACGAGCCTTACGAAAGTGACAATGAGTATTCGTTGGCATTACAAAAGTGGCAATGAGTATTCGTTGACATCACAAATATGACAAAGAACGACACCGCAGGAACTCCTAGAAAAAGTGATAAAGAAAAGTGTGAAGAAAGAACTAATGACCCATTTTAAGAAGACGGAATGTATGGTCGCCAAGAAAGGAACCTGCTCAATATGCGAGCTACAAATTAGAAATGTCAAAATCAAGTAAGTCCATAAATTGAACTAGCTTGGAAATTTTTTAACAGAAGACGGATAATCTGACAAGGAAAGGTAATGGTGCATTGTATTTAACGAAAGATGCTCCCCAAAAGCTAAACAAAGTATTAAGATAGCGGAAAAGTTAATCCGAAACAAAGAAAAAAAAAAGGCTGAAATTGTATGTAATATCAGTCTTCCTATATGGTAGTAAATGGTGAACAATTTCCTCACAGATGAAGAAAAGACTTAAGACAGGAATGTTGCTGAGAATACCATGAACTGATCATGTGAGAAACGAGGAAGTATTAAAGAAAATGAAAACGAAAAGGATAATTATGTTAAGTATGTATCGTTAATATTTTAATTGGGACAGAGCAAGTAATTTTGGACGCTTCCGTTGGTTTTTATAAATTTAAAAAAAAAATTTTTTGTTTATATTTTTATTTTTTTTATTTTATTCTTTTTTTTTAAGAGCTGAGAGTATAAATTCTGTCATGAGCACTAGCACAATTCTTTACACGGTGGCGACCTGTAGAATAAGATAACAGGTCGGGGGTGGCTGTCGGAGCTGATATTATGAATAAGAACCCCGAAATCAGCGATGAAGACGACTTTCATCACTGATAACCACCTTTAAGCATTCGAATGTATTTTGTGATATGTTTAAACTCAGAAAGAACCGTTGAAATTTCTTAAAGAAGGCTTGGAGAATTTGATCGTCAAAAGAAATAATAAAGGCCCAAGAGAGGTAGAGGAAAAAGGCGAGTAACATATTTAACGATCTTCTGTGGACCATAAGTCAGAGTAAGTAATGGGACGCCTAGTAAGGGACAAACATTACTTGGAGCTACAAAGATTGGTGGTGTTGTGGTGAGCTATTAATATTCACGTTCTCAATGGACATGGCACATAAAAAAGAAAGATATCTATCAAAGACCAAATTTTCGATATTACTGAGCTCTTAAATATATATACAAAACTAAAATATAGCAAAATTAGAACTCCCAATAGAAATTTTCTCGTCAGACTCCATCTTGCATATTTACAAATCTACCATTTTTTCGTACATTAAATACTGTTGCCATATCTGGTCTGGTGCTCCTGCTATTCATCTCGAGGTTATTGACAAAATCCAAAGAAGAATCTCTAATATATTCTATCCTGAATTGGCATCTCGACTACAGTCCCGTTCTCACCAGCGTAACGTGACTTCCCTCCGTTTTTTCTACTGCCCTGACGAATATTTTTCCCTGGGGACATGACGGCATGAATTTAAGCCTGTTACTGAATTGGCATCTAGGTTACACCCGTTTACTGTTAAAATAGCTAAATGCAAAAGCCATTTCCATTTCAATAGTTTCTTTTCTCGCACTTCGCACCTGTTTACTTGCCTCCATGATAAATACATTCTTCAGCAATTTATAAGCAACGTCAATCGCTATGTTCTATCTTCTTGAAACCCGTTCATCTTTTATCCTTTCATCAATCCTCCTTATACTCAGTCTTTTCTCTCACTTTCACTCCCTGTAATCCCATTGTGTATTAGTGGCATTCCCACCTTGCTCGGGGTGAAATGATTAAAAAAAAACTGTAATTGGCTCTTTTGGAAATTCCTCGGAAACTATAGCAGCTCAGTAAATATTGCCAATTCCGGTTTATACAGGAAATAAGGTACTGATTCAGACCGCATTGTAGATCAGAGGTTTGGTTCCGAATAGAGAAGCGACATGAGGAAAACAGTAGGAGATCTGCTTCTACGAAACGAAGTATATGTTGACAGCAAAATTGAAGAAAAGAGAGATGAAAATTGAGGAAGGAAGGAAGGAAGGAAGGACGGACGGACGGACGGAAGGAAATTCAAGTCAACAGGAAGTAGGCGAATATTTTTATTCCAGGTAACAAGAAAAAAAGAAAAAAACGCGGAAAGAAATGTAATGAAGAAAAGGTGCCTGATTTTAGGACGGGTCCAGAACAAATACCAAATAGAGGAAGACATAGAAACTGAAGTAAAGAAGAGAAAGGACCATGGCAAAAAAAATAAAAAAAAATTGAAATATATTATGAGTGTATGGTGGGTATGCATATATATATATATATATATATATATATATATATATATATATATATTAATTGATTTAAAATATTTTTTCCGCTACACAGTTCTAACCATGTTTCAAAAATGGAAGCTAAAGCCCTGAATTTAATTTTGCAATTAAATTTAAGACATGAGTTCCATATCATTCTCAAGCGAAAATTTAATTTTGTAATTAAATTAAAGACATTAGTTCCATTTCATCCTCAAGCGAAAATTCGCTTGAGGATGAAATGAAACTAAAGTCTTTAATTTAATTACAAAATTAAATTCGGGGCTTTAGCTTCCATTTCTGAAACATGGTTAGAATTGTGTAGCGGAAAAAAATATTTAAAATCAATTAATTTAATAAATATATATATTATATATATTAATATATTTTTAAAAATAATTATATATATATATATATATATATATATATATATATGTAAAATGGGAATAAATGTGGTATGATTCCATTGTACGTAACATTTAATTTAAAAGAGGTCGCAGTACATAGTAGAGCAAAATATTATTCGTTTAGAATATTAAAACTCGAAAAATAATGCGACGTTAAACTACTGGCCAGTGAAAGATTAAAATAACTTCAATTTATCAACTGCAAAATTTTATATACGAAGCTGAACGAGCATATAACCGGCCAGTATTGTGTTAAATTGTCTCCCCGCCTCACATTCCTTTTGCTTCTTGGAAAGTTTTCAAAACATCATAAGAAATAATGTAACATTCTGTATCTGCCCAAAAGGAAATTGTCTAAGTTTCATAGACAGACAACTTCGAGTCATGACCTATATTAAAAAGATTTTTCAGTCAAATTTGAATTTATCGAGGTCATATTCGATTGGTTAATCTGGTTAGTTACGGTAAGCCCAGAAATCTATTTTTTAAAGTATTCTGCTTTTTTTAGATTCCGGGTTGAAATCCGGTACCAATAAATAACAAACGCCAGGAATGAATATATGAAAATAATGTATTAACGTAATAATACAAACTGGTAAAGCAGGTTAGTAGTTCCAGGAATACGGGTTAGTAGCAAAAAATATATATATACAGTCTTTGGTATAGAAGTATCGCTGTATGACGTCATACTGATTCTACGTGCTCGCTCACTGTGACTCCTACAACGCTCACCCCTCACTCTTCCGGTTACCTACAACCTTTTACTCTGTCACTCTCGACTCGACACTCCGGTCTTGCTCTCGTCTTACTCTCATCTTACTCTTGCAGTAGTATATGTATATACTGGGTAAGTTCATTTATGTAAAAGGGTGGACCCCAATAATATATATATATATATATATATATATATATATATATATATATATATATATATATATATATATATATATATATATATATATCGTATTTACGATTCCACTGGAATAAATTATGACCATGGAATATTAGTGTTTAAGCCTTTTTTTATATATATATATATATATATATATATATATATATATATATATATATATATATATACATACAGGGTGCGATTAGTATTTGAAGACATATTTATTTTATGGATTAGTAAAAAAAAACTTGCTGAACAAATGAATATAATTATATTTGGTTACAAACAAGTAAACATGAAATTTGGCTAAGTATTATTTAATTTTATTCAATAAAACTACCATTAGCATCAATAATTGCCTCTACACGAGGTCGAAATCGGCTGCAATCTCTGATTAATTGGTGCTTATTTATGTCAGACATTACTCGAACTATTGCAGCTTTAAGAGAGTCTTTGATGTTATGAGGCTGTTTATTAACCCCCTTCTCAACAACGCTCCACACATAATAGTCTAGTGGAATGAGATCTGGAGAGTTAGGAGGCCAAATGTATCCGATATCATTTGCAATGTATGCAGGGTCTATTCGCCTTCTGATCACTCATCAGGGGAGAACTGCTTGCCGATCGTTTATTGCACAAACTGTCGATCCGTTGTTTGACACTTCAGTCTTTTTACGGATGAAGCAACATTTGGGAGAGATAGAATAACAATTTTACACAATCAAAATTTGCAAGCAGTTCGGAATCCTTATGATACAATACAGGCTAGACATTAGCATCAAGATTAATATGTGGGCTGAGTTTCTAGGTGACTATCTGGCAGGTCCGTATGTTCTCCCAGCACGTCTTGCAGCGGCTGTCTACAGGGATTTATTTCGACCACATTTCCAGACCTGTTACGATATACCCCTTCTAATAAGAACAAGTGTGTGATCCATGCATGATGAGGCTCCAGTACATTTTAGTCACATTGTTCGCGATGCATTGCTGACATCTACCATGAAAGATGAATAGGTAGGGGAGGACTGGTTCCATGACCTGAATGTCCCCCCACGACCTCAACCCTATGGATTTTTATCTGTGGGGCTACCTAAGACAAGTGTTTTATGCAGCAGCTATTAATAATGCAGAGACGCTTCATCAACGAGTCATGGGGCCTGCGAAACCATACGACACGGAGTGGGATTACATGGAAGATCCCGACAGTCATTGATCTGAGGTGTACATGCTAGTGTAGAAGAAAGCAGAGGACACTTTGAACATATGTTATGAGTTGCTGCGTCGAGGTACAACGATGGCCTTTTGGACATAGGTTTATAGTGATTTTTCAATCGTAGCTTTGATGTGGCACAAGGCCGAAATCTAGCGAGCCAAGCTTGCTAACCATTACACCGCATCGAGGTCCCCAGGAAATATGTTTATATGGACATTTTAGCTTTTTTGGTGTCAGAACTCATCCCCAATATTTCTAAAAATATTTTTTGATATATATATATATATATATATATATATATATATATATATATATATATATATATAATGAGAGAGAGAGAAAGAGAGAGAGAGAGAGAATGTTAATTTAAATACTGAGATATCGGTATAGAAAGAAGAGCGAGGGTGAGAGAAATGCTTCGTAGGTATTTTAAGGTGTAGACGAACATATATATATATATATGTGTGTGTGTGTGTGTGTGTGTGTGTGTGTGTGTGTGTGTGTATGTCGTTTGGTAAGATGTGTCACGTTCATTTTCATGGTTGGGATCGGACCCCCTTTTCTTTTAAAGGAGAATCCAGAATCTCGATTTTAGTTGCAAACTCTGGTAAGGTAATTATCTAAGTCTTGAAGAACGTGGAAAGAAACAATGCAAGAAAAAAAAATAAAAAAGAAGCATACAAAAGGAAGATGAAAACAGAAGAGTAAAAAAAGATGGGACGTAAAAGCTGCGAGGAAAAAAAGAAAGAAAGATAGGCTGAAAAAATGTGGAGACAGAAACGAAAAAACAAAAGTACCAAAAGCAAGGAAAAAATAATAAAAGAAGACAAAAAATATCAGGAGAAAAATAGATAGAAAGAACTCATTATAAAGCCAGGAAGAATGAGAGAAATGGAATATATATATTTAAACGAAGAGTAAATGAAAAATATATGAAGATAAATGAGAAAAATGAAACTACAGAAAGAAAACCATTTAAAAAAAAGAAAGAAAGAAGCAAAAAATAAAAAAAACGAATGAAAAAAGAAAGAAAGAAAGCGTGAATAAAAAATTCAAAAGTAACCGGAAGAAAAGACAAGTCTGAAAGAAATCGGGATGAAAGAAAAGATGGAATAAAAAAAAAATACGAAAAGTTAAGAGGAAATACAATTATGTTCAAATATAAAAGAAAAGGAGATTTTGGTTGAGAAAAAAAAAAAAAAAAAAGTATGTGAGAAAGAAAAAAAAGAAAAAAAGGCTAAATATTAAAAACTCAAGAAACAAAATAAAAAATCGAACGAACGTTCAAAAAAGGAGATGTGTAATATGGCAGCAAGGACAGAAAGGTCGAGCGAAAAAAAAATAACAAAAAAAAAAAAAAATAGTCCGAAAATGAATAGCAAAAATGAATGCAAACGAAAGAAAGAAAAACCCCGTCGATTCGACCAACCTACATCTCTGCGAATAAGACAGGGTCGGGATGGGAAGTGGAAGGGTGGTTGTTAGTTAAGTGAATGGCGGTAAGATAGGAAAAGGGCAAACGCAGGGGTTTATTCATTGTCATCCACTGCGGCCGCCATTTTAAGAATGGCATGTCAGGATGGGAAAGTAAGAGAAGAGACAAAAAGAGGAGAGAATATACAGGGTAAAAATAACGAAGGTTGGGGAAGAATGCGGAGAGTCGGGGTTGGAGTGAAATAAATGGGTTTTCTCCAATTCTTGGGAAAGTTCCCAAAGAATGAGATGGAGAGTGAATCAATTGGATCAACATGGAAAAATCATCGCTTATAAATATATTGTATATATAGATATATTTGTGAATATGAGTGTGTACATACGTGTTCAGGCATGTGCGAATATGAATACGCGAATTTAAACATGCATATATATATATATTTATATATATATGCATGTGAGTATGCAGATATAAATATTTGTATACATGTGTGGATATATATATATATATATATATATATATATATATATATATATATATATGATGTGCACATATGTGTTCAGGCATGTGCAAATATGAATGTGAATTTAAACATGCATATATATATATATATATATATATATATATGTGTGTGTGTGTGTGTGTGTGTGTGTGTGTGTGTGTGTGTGTGTGTGTGTGTATGCAGATATAAATATTTGTATATATATATGTGTGGATATATATATGCAGATATAAATATTTGTATATATATATATGTGGATATATATATATATATATATATATATATATATATATATATATATATATATATATATATATATATGAAAAGTGTATATAAATATAAATAAATATATATATGTATAATTATTTATATATTATATATATGGTAATTATTAGAAAGCGCTCAATATCAGAGATAGAGCTAACATACTACATCTATCCTAAATATATAATATATATATATATATATATATATATATATATATATATATAGAGAGAGAGAGAGAGAGAGAGAGAGAGAGAGAGGGTGTATCAAAAATAATTTTACAAACTTTACGGGCGCGTTCCTGATACGAAAACAAGCTAAAATGCCCATATAAACAAATGTCTAAAAGCAATCGTTGTACCTCAATACAGCAACTTATAACAAATGTTTAAAATGTCCCGCACTTGCTTCAACACACGCATGCACCCGTAAGATCATTGACTGGTGGACCCTTTTAAATGCTCCCACGCGGTGTCGAATGGCTTTCGCAGACCTTCATATCACGTTGATGAAGCGTCTCTGCATTATTAATCCCTGCTGCATAAAGGTGGCCCCACAGATAAAAATCCAAAGGATTGAATTCGGGAAACGTGCTGGCCATGGAACTGATCCTCCCTATCTATCCTTTTTTTATGATACATGTCAACAAGTGTATCGCAAACAATGTGACTAAAATATACTAGAGCATTATCATGCATTGGCCACGCGTATTATCAGGGACACATTCTCTAGCAGGTCTGGCTGTGTCGTCGAAATAAAGTCACTGTAGTCACGTGCTGGGAGAACATATGGACCTACCAGACAGTCAACTACAATTCCAGCCCACACATTAATCATAAACTGATGCTATTGTGTAGCCTGTATTATGCCATGGGAATTCCGAAACACCCACAAATGTTAGTTGTGTAAATATTTTATTTAATCTCTTCTAAATGTTACCTTATCCGTAAAGACGACTGACAAGACAAAAAACAAAAACAAAAAAAAAAAAACAACAAAAAAAAAAAAACGGATTGGTAGTTTGTGCAATAAATGATCGGCAAAAGTTCTCCTGTAGTGAGTGTTCAGAGAGCGAAAGATCCCGCGCACTTTTGCAAATGATAAAGATACAGAGCTGCTCTTGAAGTACCCTTCATGTGGTACTATGAGATTCATTTACATGCTAGGGCTACTTGACGTGTGCTGATACCTGGATCGTCCCCGACAGCATGTAGAATGTCTTCTTCGTGGTCAGGCGTGCGAGGTATTCCTCGGCTCATAGTTTGTGTTGCTATGGATCCTGTCTCAACAATGCGACCATATTCATTAGCAAAGTTCTGATGATTCGCGGCTACCTTCGATCTGGTAATGAAGTATGAAACAGCCGTGTAGCCTCGCGTCCATTATCATTCGCGAAGCCGTATGGAAAAATTATATCTATTTGCTCACGATATTAATATCCTGTCATTGGTAAACGGGACACTTCTCAGTTAACTCGCTGCTGCGCACATTGAAGACAGACTAGTTAAAAATGTACACGAATGACAAATGTAACCTAGTCTACATGGCTACACGGCGACATCTACCGTTTCTTTAAATTTAACTCAAAAACGAAGGATTTGTTGGTCATATGTTTATATGAACTTTTGTCCTTCCTTGTTTTGGTGTCAGAAACATGCCCACCAAATTTTGTAAAAAGTATTCTTGATACACCATATATACTCAATTATAGGATTGATGTATACGGAATAAATTCCAATAATCAAAAAATAGAGAGTAAAGCAAATATAGCTATTTATTCAAAAATTATAACATAAATATAAATATGTTATAAAAATATTCATTTTGTTTCAACACTTTTGGTGTCTTATCAAGTGATGGTGTTGAATGTAGAATAAAGGGTTTTAAAAGATTCAAATCAATCAAACACCTGTTACATAAGCTGGAATGGTCAATCAAAATACAAGTATATGAGAATTCAAAAAACTAATGCTTTAATGTTAGGGTTAGACTAAAAGAGAATTCATTCTAACTAATTAATATTAAATTTTACTATAAAATTCAAAATTCAAAATTATCAATTTTAAATTTTACATTTAATTTGTATTAAGTTTAAAACAATATAAAATTATTTAAAGAAGAAACTGAGGAAAAATATATATTTTGTTATTTATTTTGTTTTTATTGAAAGGCCACAAATCCAGTTAGAATAAACGTTAAATCTAATGTTGCTCTGAGCTTCATTAAAACTTAGATACATTTGAAGTGATGATATGGGCAAGGAAGGATGAAATCACACAAAAGAAAATACATACACAATCAAATTATAATACACAAACAGGTAGACATATTTAGATATATAAACACGCAAAAAAGCGATGAAACAGGAAATAGGTGTCTACGACCCTTAAAAAATATTTGTATTTCTTTTTTTTTTTCACCCCAAGCAAGGCGGGAGGCCACTAGGACGCAAGGGGTAACAGAAAATTTAGAGCAAGATCAGATAGGAGTGATACAAGAAAGGATGAGGAGAAGGATAGTGGATAGATCAAGGTAACTGAAGATGTCGATTAACATTAGACTTGAATAGCTGGAGATTATAGCTCCCAGGGAAACTGGAATAGGGAAGGGAGTTCCACAGGCGAGAGGTGCTAGACATGAAGCTATTGGAGTAGAAGAGAAGGCTACATTAAGTAGTTTCGACAGTGAAAGGGTGAGAGCGGGATGCCAGCCTCATAGGGCACTTGAATTCACGAAGTCTGGGAACCAGCGAATGCAGCTCCTCGGAGCAATTGCCATGAAAGTATTTGTAAAACAGACAGAGAGAGGCGACGGCGCGTCTGTGAGAAAGTGACTGTAGACGAGACGCCAGATCAGGGCCAATTATATTGCATATCTGCCTCTGGATCTTGTCAAGAACTCCGAGGTAAACAGAAGGGGCTCCAGACCATATATGGCAGCAATACTCCATGCAAGGGCGAACGGTTGATTTGTATATTTGAAGTATCGATTCCGGGGAGAAAAATTTCCTGGCGCGGCACAGGGAGCCAACTTTCCTCGCGGTGGACGATGCAATTGATTCAATGTATTTGTTCCATCTCAGGTCAGCAGTCAACGTGTGTGTGTATGTATATATATAAACACACACACGCACACGCACATAGAGAGTGCGATGGGTAAATTGTTGTCATTTTATATCTTAATTTTACCGCATGCGCGTTCTTTGTTTTTGATTTTGTCTCCTTCACATTATAGTAGGGTCAGTTTGGCACCGTCTGTGAGAAAAAGACCCCCATGACACAATTCCCTCTGCTTGGCATTCGCTCTGAACACTCCAGTAATAACATTTCATAGTGTTTATGTGTTAGTCCGTGGACAGTGAAGAGGATCCTGAAAGAGTTGGATGAGTCTAATGGCGATTACGAAGTTACGGTAGATCGGAAAACTCCAGAATTTGTTGGTGAGGACCTCAGGCTCAACCTGGAGGCCTAAATCAAGAGCCTTGAGTATCTAGTGTTGCCCTGGGTCAAGAAGGTGGCTGCTGGAAGATCCTTTGTCTGGCAACTATAACTCTGCACTATGCCACACAAGCAGGAGAAGCCAGTGATGGCTGTCAGACAATTTCTGCATCCCCTTCACCGACTAACTCCCCAAACTGGAACCCCCTTGATTATTATGTGTGGGACGCAGTTGAGTGAGAGACTAAGAAAATTTCTTGTAACACGAAAGATGAATTAAAGGCAAGGATTACAGCAGCATTCACCAACTTAAAGAAGGAGGCAGTCCAGAAGAGTTGCAGGAGATTACGAAGTTGTCGTGAGGCCATGTTTGAAGCCAATGGTGATTTTATTGAATAAATCTACTCTGTAGTATTTCAGGATATTATTGTGTCATTTTTGGTAAATATATCTGTTAAAATGAGATGTCAGTGTTATTTTCATTTTTGCGCAATTTAGACGATAATTTATCCATCGCACCCTTTATGTATGATATTTTAGCAACATAAAAAATATGTTACATATAGTCTTACTTTCTTAATACAAGACACATTTCTCACTATCCAGTCAATAATTTCAATGGTCATGAAGTGCGAAATTAATAAGGGAATGGTCTTGATGAGTTCAGATTAGGGGTCTGAAAAATAGGAATCAACACTGCATGTTAAATGTCAATTTCACGCCTCAACGCGACGTTCGGACCAAACACTGGTCTAAACATCGCACTGAGTTGATTCCTAAGTAATCTATCTCTGATAGTTAGCACTCAAATTTAAAACTAGAGAAAGAAAGAGAAGGAGAGAGAGAGAGGGGGGGAGAGGGGAGAGGGAGAGAGAGAGAATTACTGAAAATTTTTCGGCCTGAAATTTTTCATTCTTCGTCGGTCCGTGAATTTTCATGACACAAAAGAGAAGTAGAACCTTGCTAAGTTGTTTGGTTTCTGTGGGTGTGCACGCCGGGCTAATGGATAAGTCAAGTTCGAATCCTGCCAAAGAGCACACATTGTTCTTTATTAGAATTTCTCGAGTGCGCAAGCCGATAGATGTCACACACACTGTCTAAAAATATATATATATATATATATAA